ATACATCGAAACAAGCAACTGTATGCTTCATCGTAATACATATGTGTATATCAACTGTAATTCCTAGGATAGATCCAAAAGTGTACATCTTGGGGGTTTAGGCTTTTCGATTGGTATGAGCGTTACTTATTCGACACATCATCTGATAAACAAGCTAAGAGTCTTTATAACAGTCATCAAACAAAACCTTAAAAGAATATGGATGCAATGCCAAATGACAGAAACTTAACATATATTTTAACAAGTCAGGCATTTCTCTGTTGTGACAGAATGCATCAAGAGCAAACTCCTTAACTATTTTACACTTTAATGGTTTATTTACATTTTACTTTAGTCTACCTTCTGTTAATAGTATTATTTTAGCTATTACTGCGTTGGCTAGCGATCTTATTCTGATAGTTTTTTCACACGATTGGATAATCCCTTTTTTTATCGATCTGTTCATTCCATATGTAACCAAAATAATTTATCTGTCTGTTATAGTGATATCTTAAAATTGAATGTATTTTATGAGCAGTATATCATATAATACTCTATTCTGCATGATTTACTTGTAAAACATCAACTGTATGTTTTCGGATATTGTGTATTAATTATGTCATTTTGTTATTATAACAAATATTTATTTGTTCAGGTTGTAAGCAGCTGTTCAGAAATCATTGAAATAAGGTGTATTTAAGAAATAGGTTTGCATTTATTTTTCAACAAACAATTTAACATTAAAAACAATATTGGTAATTCTTTTATTCTTTATATTCTAAAAAAAGGGAAAAGTTAACCTCATTCGAATAAAACATTTAACAGGAATAGATTTTACATTACATCGTTAATTTTATAGAGTAATTCAACTAGCTGATATATATATATCAATAGGATTTGACCTACTCGAATATTCACCTTTGTAAAATGTAACCTAAATAATTTGTAGGCTTTTGACTTGCATTTCTTTCTTTCTATATATTTGTGCACTAAATTACCTAATACAAATGTAAAGTTTATCAGTGATCTACACACAAAGAAGATAATCTCTTATAAAATCAGTGATGTGTGGCATTTTGTGCAGACCTATTATATATATATATATATATATATATATATATATATATTCACACAGATCAATTTCCATGCACAACACACATGCAAATCATGTGAACATGAATGAAACAATAGGATAAAACAAGTTAAAACTCCTATTGGTTCACTATTCCACATAATTTACGCGTGAAGTGATCATTAATAAAAAGAGGTTAAGAAAATAACTAATCGATTAGATGTACGAAATACCAAGAAGTAGTATAAATGTAATTAATAAAATTAAATATTCGGATTAAAAGTTAGATCAAGAGTAATTTTCATAGTCATGAGAATATTTGTTGAATAAGTAAATGAATCAGTAATTTATAATTATTATACACAAAAAGTGCGGCTTTTTACAATTGCAATGTACCACAGTAATTGTGTACGAGCTAGAAAACTATCATGAACTCTAGACTGGAATAGGCTGTTACCCTGTAAGCACATTGAACATGTCGTTCGGAAGAACGATGGAAGCTCCACGACCAAACCAACCAGCTCAGAGAACAAAACTCCATCGAAATAAACCATCTGAGCTACAAATCTTCTCCACCATCTTCATACAGTAAATTCTATCAATTTTCCGTCCAAAAAGCAAGCGATGGATTCATAATAGAATGTCATGTTTATTAAACGTTTCGTTTCAAGCCTTAATCTTTGAAATATTACCCTTTGCCAAACAGCATGTGGATATGTGCTACTCGAGACATACCCATGACAAACAGTTACAGATAATTCCATCCTTGAGATCTGTGGACCGGCTTTCAAATGTTTAATGTAGTGGTTGAAAAATGAGTGTTTCAATCACTAGTCTACAGCTCCACAGGGTACTAATTGGATTCTATGTTATTAACAGTACACACTAATTAGAATTAAAAATGCAAACACTTATTTGGCTATGTAACACCTTAATATGATGTTTAGTTACAAGCCGCTGGTTCACAATATTCTCGAATGACTTCAGGTGGAGGACTGCACAGTTTCAAAACTGAGTGTGAATTAAGATATTAATAACTACTCTAAGTTTGAAGTAAAGTTGAAAACGTGTTTTTATTTTTACCTAAGTATAATATATGATGGATATTTTATTCTATGATCTCTCTATATGTAGTATCATTGTGCAGAAATAAAGATCAGTAAAACAACTCATATGGTAGTTGTTCCTTTAAACTTTACGAAAGTGAACTTATATTTACAACACAGTAAGCACGAAGATAAAATATATTCTCGGAATCCGAATACATAGACAAGCTTCGATCATAATATGAAAATAAAAATGATGTGATTACACCAACCATCACACAGTACACATTGTCCACTAACCCAACACACATTCACTTACTTTCGTGACTTACAATTTCTTTAATCAATCATTAACAAATCCGTTGCATTCATTACATATTCGTCTTAATAAACTGTACATTCACAAAGGTCCAATTAAACATACCGGAAGAGAACAAACAACATGACAACTATGAACTTCCTACAATCATAACTACAATCACACAAAAGCCACCACTATCACCACCACCACCACCACTATTCACGTTAATATTGTTGTTATGTATTAACGCAAAACCATTACATGAAACCGATTATCGTAACTACAATAATGATAATCATAACAATAATAACATCGATCAGCGTCTCAATAATAATTACTTCGTTAGACAATAGACTTCGCTTTTTTCTACAATCGGGTGTTTATATCTTCCTCGAATATGAGAAGTTATTTATTTCACAAAATAACATTTTGTCTCATTCATCAAGCTTAAAATTGGTCGTATTATTCTTCCAAGGAAAATGATTACGTAAACATCACTTATTGCCAGATAGCCTATGCTTTTTATACGCTGCACGATTTGGAAAGTTGAATGAATTCGCGGTAGACCACTGAATAAACATGTGATTCTCGAATTTTCAAGTGTAAGATTTTCATTCAGTGTGGTGGACATTCACCTTTTATCGCCATGCATCTCCTTATACTGTGTTAAGATATCAATATTGAAGGCGGTAATTACATTTTTGTGCATCGAAGTTTCTCATGGGGCGTAAACGTTTAGCATAGAATATTTACTTTAAAATAATCTTTTGAAAGACGAAACTACTTTAATTATTTCGTTAATTTTCAAAGTTACTTCCAACATAATCCTTTTCACTGTTAATCTTACAAACAAAACACATGTAAACATCAAATCTTCACCAAATAGGTTGACAGAACCAAACTCGAGACCTTCAGGCCTCACATTGGGCGCCCAGCTTATATACCACGTAGTTAGATTGAGAATTTGGAGAAGCGGATTTTTGTTAAGCTTTTATATATTACTACTTGTTATCACCAGGAAAAATAGTTTCTTGTGATGAATAGTGGCATTTTGAATATATATTTCAAGTATGTTGTAGAAGGAAGCCAAGCCATGGAAGAAAATAAAGTCTAGTAAAGCCGAAGTGTATAATATTAAATTATCTGTTGAGCAGTATTCTCCTGTCATAAAGCACACACAAATTATTTTAGTCTCGAGACGTCCATATTTTAATATATTTTTATGTAGAAATTCACTTGGTTGGCTAGCGAATTTCAGAAATAATTTTATTATCTAGTTTAAAAACACTAAAAAACCAATGTTAAAGTTACATCTACGTTTACCAAACCCTTCATTGAAATTATCTATTATAGGTCAACACTGATTTCACAATACCGTTTGTTTCAACTGTAAAGGACTAATTAGACTGATGATAAGAAAAACAATTATTGAATAAAAATCAATAAAGGTTGCTGTTTTCAACATACATTCTAAGATCTAAACACGAAAAGCGCATGGAATCCTTCCATACTGAGAATATACCGATCTCTTTGTCACTCATTACACTACTTTGATTTACTGCGTCTCATCTGTAAAAATTATCAGCTCTAAGCTGATGAGGAAATTAAGAAAAGACATTTGTGGTGGATATGGCACATTGCGAAAATCATCAAACTGCATCACGAGGTAAGCCCTATATTGGGATCTCCAAGACAAAAGGAAAAGAAGCAGACTGAAGAACATATTGTGCTGAAAATTAGAGGGACATCAAAAGGGTGAATAAAACTTGGAAACAGTTGGAATAGAGAGCTCAAGGCATAGTTTAGGAATCCTAGTCGGCGATACATGTGCTAGTGTGTAGTAGTTCAGTCATTGATCCTGGCCAAGTGTCAAGTAAATTATCGAATATACCTCCAACTTCGTATGCTGGTGTGCCCAATATAAAAGCAACCATCACACTGATTGTTTTAAATGCCTTAATATTGTCTGTTTTTTTTATTTAGTCAAACTGCCTGCAGTTAAACAAATAATAGTTATCAGAAGTTGAATACTTCGTGTACAAGATGTACATATTCAGAAAGACAACTGATTTATACCTGTACATAAAAGAGTGACTGTAAATACTGAGCATAATACTGTTATTTGAGCTAAGAATCGTTAATCAGTGTACTTATCGACAACAATGTAGATGAGCAAACAGATGTAATAAAACTCTAAAGAGACTACTTGACTAAAGATTTAAAAAACAACCGTAGTATTAATCAAAAGTAAATTATTATATTCTGCATGACATGAATGCAAGCTGACAGTGTTTGATATTTCATTATGTGAAATCCTATTATTGAAATAACCAAAAACCTGATGCTTCTTTTAGACGGTAATAAAATATCAGGTAAGCAATGATTTTTAATCAAAAGTAATTCATACACGAAATATAGGAGGTAAGAGGACATTTGGTTAAACAACATTCCACAAATCTTAACTTATTTTCGATTATATTTTTTAGCGCGGTAAAACAACAGGTAGACACGATCGATAAATGAGAGTAAAAACAATAATGTTTAGTTGATTGTTGATAACTAATCATTTAATATCATCACAAAACTGATAGATTTAACGTACCTGGACATTTTTTAACACAAATGTCATGAAAGTTATATTTGAATTCTGGATTCGCAATAGTTCTACTCTCTTCTCGACTAACTATCAATGGTGGAGGACATTGTGATACACATTTGCCATCATTCATCGCATGTTTGCATGCCTAAGATAACCGAAAATTATCAAAACAAATATTAAGATAAATTAGGTGAAAATCAAACTTAATCATGATTTCTACTTTTTTGTTTAGTAAAAGCTCGATTTTTCTCCTTATATCCTTCAAAATGAACACAATATTTACAATACATAAGATAAGATAACTATTTATTCGTGAATACTATATGGTTTCATCACGAAAATGGCGAGAAATTGACTGATCATTTAACCTTGATAATATCACAAGATTAATTATATTTAGGGAGAGAGAGAGAGAGAATAACCATTTTATTTTAGCGGGAGAAATTTCTCAAAGTTGTGAATTACGAATTTCATAATCAATGCGTGAAAACGAATTATACCTCGTTTTATTAAATGCTTTCATCACAAGGCGTGTGACCCGAATCACTTGGATATGCCTGAAATACTTATGATCATATTGCTAAAAGATAATTTATCTATTCTACCCGTTACAGTTACTTAGCAATATAGGTTTGTTAAAAACGAAATATATAAACCACTGGTTTGATAAATCGCATTTCAGAGTACCAGCTCATTTTCTGAATATTTTAAAACGTTTAGAGTTTAATATGTGATTCCACAGATAGAATGAAATATAAAAACTTTTGTTTTATCATCCTGTTTATTCATATCTCCATCCAATTAACCATTAAACTAAGATTTGAAACGTGTATGGATGAAGACTAGTATATCACGGTGACCTGTGTACAAGTGAATCGACAAATGAGTCAAAATGTAAAATTTAAATCTTGATTCTTTATAAAATTACTTTTGAAGATTTTCATCGTCTATATCGTTTTAGATAGAAGACGAAAGGAGAGAGAAATGTACGTTTATCCCCAAATGTTCTCATATAACTGGTACTGTCAGCATTCCTCATATCAGTGGAATACCGTATTCATGTCTTCACACATCAGAATCTAAGACAACAATCTTTTGAGATACTGTATTAATCGTATAATTGATCATCCAGCCTATGTATAACAGTTACACACCATTTTGACTCTACATTGCTCAGGGGTTTCATCATGTTTCTATAGACTCTAAACGGTAAAGTACAAGGAAATATTGAGATAGAAGATTGCCTTAAAAGAGAACACTTTGACGCTATGATTTCAGTAAATTCACATGAGGAGCGAAGACAGATCCACATGATGCACCCAAAAAATCAGTAAACTTACATAACTAGTCACCAATCTGCAGAACTATCAATCGATTAAAGGTAACAAGGTTGAAACCCTATTTCAGAGTCTTATTGAGCAGTTTCACAAATAAAACAATTTAAACTGTTCGCCAGCATATTAAGTCACTTACCTTAACGGTACCATCGAAATTATTGGAGCATTTCCTTCAGCCCACTCTTGGGCTTTTGTCCTCACGTTAATATATTCTGATAGTGTTCTAGTAAATTACGATTTAAGACCGTGCCCTAATAGCACCTTATCACATTAAATTCCATTATTTACGTTCAGTCTCGTTCATCACAACAGTAAATATAATATCAAATAAATAAACATATTACGTAAGAATACATGTAAAACTTTTGTTTTATTTGCTAAAAGGAAAGAAAACTATATAACTCACTCTACAATTGCCAGGACGAGTTTCGCATCCACCCAAGCATTCTTCCAGACACGGTTGTGTAGTCGCTCTACCACCAAGACAATAGTTATCAAGATTGTTAGCGCATTTCAGCACTTTGAAATAGAGAGAAGAAAAAATACAAACAGAAAGTGGAATAATTATATATGCAATGATGGTACAATACACAAAGACAAGTGAACAATACAAAATGATTAGAGAAATAAGCAAACAAATAATAACTACACAATTTTAAGTAACTCTTTGACTGGGTGGAACTACTGACGGGGTAGAAAGTAGACTAAAGACAAATTATGTTTCGTAAAGATAGAACAGGAGTTAAACCATACACTTTTTAAAAACAAATTAGAGTGTTTAAGACTTGAATACACTATTTTTAAAAACATCAAACAATCGTCTAACATTCATAATTAATAACACTAAGCAATATTAAAGGCTGAGTTGATGGGAAAGGTTATGCTATCAAAACTTACATAAGCTTTGGTCAAATCGTTACTTCATGATATACATCCTATGAACGGTAAACTGAAAATATTGTGTTGCAAAGAGCTTCTTCCGAGCTGCTTGTACCAATGATATTCCTTTCTCAGTGACTTTAACAGTTAGATTTCACAAAACGTTTTCGTTAGATTGAATGATTTAATTAAAAGAGAAGAGTAATTTGTCATTTTTTCGGCAACAGAATAAGTGCGATAAATGCGTTGACAGTACTGTTAAGGGGATTTATTCACTCAACTGATGGGCGTTAGAGAATCATTCAAGTACGATGAACAGAGGAAAGATTTAAATAACGAACTAATGAATTGTGCCTTAATATGCTAGTATTTCACTTTTTTCTACCTATTTGAAGTTTAGTGGATATGTTAACATTATTTACACTTGAGAATGCATGGATGTGTTCAATGGCAAATCTTCCTAGAGTAATCAACTTACTTTTCTATCTACAGAAGACTGTGAAGATAGTGTGAGCACAAAAGCTGCATTTGCTCATTTGCTTACCAATACACCATTAGTTGGTGGTCAAAGTACTAACAATCCCAACCCCTGATCCTAAACAGTGTAACAGCATTAATATACTCTTATTATTCATAATGCAAGCATTCATAGGGAATCTAATGAAATCACACTCCAGAAATGTCATCGTTTCAACAGCCTAATTATTTGTAATTTGCGAATGCTGTGTTGTAACAATTAGTACAACTACTGTTGAATTACTCAGTTTAATAAGCCGTAAAATGTGAGTTATAATCAAATGATTATCTCCTATGTCCCAGTCGCCGAAATTTTGAAAATCATTTGTTGACGTCTGGTTAAAATCTCAAAACAGTGTAATGAATTTTATGCGATTGCAGAATAATAAATAAGAACTTTCGTCCAAATTTGAACGAATAGTTTCACAATATTTGGGCGCCGAGTTAATGTGAGTCATTAAAGAGAAATAATATACATTTGTAAAGTCTCAGCGAATTCCACAGTTAGACATTGCGAAACAAGATGGAACTGGATTCTATTTAATGTTTGAATAAAATAAACAGTAATTTACTAACATAATGAGGAATACAATGCTACACAGCAGTAAACAGACTTGATTTTATTTTCTAAAGATTTCTCAAAAGTTCACTCAGCATAAGGAATTCAGTTGGTACAACAAAACCCACAATATATACAGCTAGAAATCACCACTTATCAATGTAAAACCATGAAACCAAATGAATTGATGTACACAGTTCATTGGTTACTGTGTAGCAGCAAATAATGATGTGCATTTTATCATTTTCGAGCAGTTCATGCTGCTTTTTCACAAGAAAATACACTATTTGACAACTTAGTTACAGATATAAGAGCTGAATTAAAATATCAATTACTGGTCCTCTAAGTAAGTGAGTTAGGAGTACAGTGTGCCTATATTTAGAGTCGATTGACTTAATAAACAAATTACATTTTCAAAATTGTGTATATTTTCATTTTTCTTTTTCTTTTCGGTTTGACTTATATAAGGTAGGATATATTGTAATGGCTTTATTGAAATAGATTTGTGTAAATCACTATAATAACAATACGATTTTTTTACTATGTCATTCTGAGACCAATGTATATTATTGATTCTTTGTGGAAGTAAATGATTATGGTCATTATCATACTGAGCTTGCATGAATACGTTCTAGTGATTTCTAGTTATTTTACATAGATATCTCATAGCGTGAACTGATATGCAAATAAGTATATTGGTTTTTATAACCCAGTTTAACTTAATGATTTCGTTAAAACTAAAGTAAAGTCTACCTTCAAGAATATAATTATTTGTGGTGTTAACCCAGTAAACTGAAAGTCAGTTAACATAAGAAAACTGGTTAAGATGATCAACAGGATAGTCTTATAAAAAATGTAGAATGATTAGTCCTATCTTATTTAGATAATATTAAAACATCCGTTTGGCTGCCATATTATATGTTCATTTAAATTTTAACAAACTGCGGTACGTTTCATATTGTTCATTATTTGCAAGCAACGTTTACAGAAGAGCAAGCATAACTTTTCAAGGACCACGTACGTAGACAAACAATACATCAATAAGCAAAAAGAAAACGTTAGTGATTGAAAATTGGTCACTTAAACAAATACACTCGCTTGGTCCGAAATGGAATGTCATGATTATTAAACGTATTCAATTGCAATTTGTAATGTATTCTCGGAATCCGAATACATAGACAAGCTTCGATCATAATATGAAAATAAAAATGATGTGATTACACCAACCATCACACAGTACACATTGTCCACTAACCCAACACACATTCACTTACTTTCGTGACTTACAATTTCTTTAATCAATCATTAACAAATCCGTTGCATTCATTACATATTCGTCTTAATAAACTGTACATTCACAAAGGTCCAATTAAACATACCGGAAGAGAACAAACAACATGACAACTATGAACTTCCTACAATCATAACTACAATCACACAAAAGCCACCACTATCACCACCACCACCACCACTATTCACGTTAATATTGTTGTTATGTATTAACGCAAAACCATTACATGAAACCGATTATCGTAACTACAATAATGATAATCATAACAATAATAACATCGATCAGCGTCTCAATAATAATTACTTCGTTAGACAATAGACTTCGCTTGTTTCTACAATCGGGTGTTTATATCTTCCTCGAATGTGAGAAGTTATTTATATCATAAAATATCATTTTATCTCGTCTATATTTCAATGTGGTATTTTTTTCTAGATGGACAAGAATATGTTTAAAATTATTTGAATGTTGGTTGGTTATGCTAACTATATATACTGGATTTAGGGTTTTACCAACATCTCGTTTTGAAAAAAATCAACCCATTTTTTTTCCAGAAAATTTTCAATTGACAAATTAGTCTAATTTATCGAAAGAATTTTGTAGGTAAGAGAATTAGCGCGTTACAATCTTAGAATTAGGGTTTCTCATTTTCAAATTTTTTATCAAAATAAAGAACTCATGATTATTTTCGAATGATTTGGTGATTTATTAAAATACAAATCCGATAACTATCATCTGTTTTCTTGGATTAACTTTCATTTGCAGTTTCCCACAATTTAAAAAGCATATATAAATCATTTAGCATGACAGCGTAAAGTGACGTTAATTTCGAATTTAGTCAGTACGTGTTATTATTAAAAAATAGTTTATTATCATTAATTTTTGAGACGAAAGACCGATATCTGAAGACGACAGATGATATGTCGATGTAGTTATTACTAGTTATACAATTAATCATTCAGTTTTCTCTTAACACGGTTGATACTCTGCCTTTAACTTACACTTATTTCTGCATGTTCACCTAGTACTAAGGTAACATTAGCTAGTTATTTGAGGATGGAAAGTTTTGAAATTCGGGAATTAATGCTGATGGTATTTAACAGCTTCTTCTTATACGTATAACATACTCCACTTAACATTAAATTGGAGTTAATTTACAGGTAAAACACTTTCGCAATAGCATTTCTCACAATCACCTGATGAGGATGTTTGCGTTTAAGTCTAGATTAGAAAAGAAGAGTACAAAGTTTCTATCGACTAATAAACTAAAATTTACATTGTTTGCTGAAAACCCATTATATATTGATTACGAATCACCTGACAGTAAACAACATCACAAGTAAACCCGTACTTATCAACCAGTCAACACGTTTGCGCTCACAAGCACATTTCTTAAAAATCTTTATTAATAGACCACAAACCATTCTTTATTTGTGTTTACGTTGGTACAACGTATGTGTATACGTACACAAAATACGCGCTTAGACAAAGTGATGGTCAAAAATATTTGAGTGAGACTAAATTAAACAATAAATCTACTTTGATTAAACAAGTTAGATTTTTTAAATTTAAAAATTAAAATTTATGTGATAAACATCTTTAAAATTTAGATTTATTATTTTTTATTTTGAAAATTCCGCTTCTACGGTTTATTTTTATATAAATGATAATGTTAGACATTTTAAGTTGACAATCTTTCTTAATTTTCCTACAAACTATATGACTGTTTAAGTTTTGTTAGGCTTGTTGGTTGTGAGGACAATAATTGAATATTTTAAAGGAAAATGTTTATTCACTAATTAAAAAAAGTCTTCATTTGAGGGACTGAGATTTCTAACTAACAAAACATTACTTCGAAATCAAGAGTTTCCCTATCGTGGTGAAACAAAATTCATATTACGTAGTGAGTCTGTGGTAGGAAATTAAAAATGAGAAATTAAAAGTTGATAAACAAACCCACATCAGATGAATAGCAGGGGGCTATCAGCAGTCATCAACTTACTGAGAGTGTCATATTATATGACATGAATGCTTTATTTTAAACTTATAAGCAGTATCAGAAACTAATGAGATGTATGTAATTTAGCTATATTAATTTGCAATTAAGAATATATAGGCGTTCCAGATTCTACGGTTAACTGGAAGTAATGTGTACTTTTACGATGTCAATACCACTTCAACCAACCAGTCAAATGTGGTGTGTTGCCCCGGCGAGCATGAACCACCGCAAGAACGACTGCTTTAAAGCGGGGACGAGTGTGGTGTGTGCTACTTATA